TGATGTAGGCAAAAAGAATCACTGAACTTTCTTTCTGAAAAGTTGAAAAGTATTACATTTGCTCTATGCTAATACTTAAACTGCATTTTGGGAGAGTTGTTTAAAAAAACCGTAAAACTTAAACGATAGGTTCAATTTTATTTTTCAGGGGTAGTTTTAGTAAGCATGGCAGCATTTCATGAATAGGCTTTTCATCTGAAGCTACATGATGTACAGATGTTACTAGATATGCAAACTGCTTTTAATCTTTTATTTTTTATTAAGGTAGTGGTAAATAAGAATAGGAATCTTTAAAATTCTATTTCTGCATGGTTAGTGTAATGTTTTTTACCATGTGAGACTTGTTTTACTGGTTGCTTTTTATGTTTAAATGTTGTTTGTGCTAGCAAAACACGCAGAACATATTTCTTGCTAGGTCATGAAAGTGTGGAAAATCTCTGCCCAGGCTGCTTCTTGATAATCTTTGTAAGAAATTTCTTGGGAAAATCAGAGAATTACTAAATTGAGCTTTAAGTATTAAATGCTCTTGTTGTTGGATATTCTAAATTTATGTAAAGTAGATTCAGCTTCCGTTCATATGTTGTAAGCATAGACCAATTAATAATGAAGAAATTTTGTTTTCTGTCTGATTTTGATTTTATGGAGCTTTGTTTGATCTTGAAGGAGAAAAACAATAAAAATATTTGATACGGAAACAGTCGAAGGAAAGGATATGGGAATACTGTCAGCTGGTGTTATGTTTGTTTTGAATTCTGTAGCCAGAAGAGTGTGATTTCTCTTGTGCCCATACAAAATTCTTTTGATATTCATTAAGTTCTGCAGAAGTTCAAGGAGCTCCTTTTCATGTGCATTTGATTACAGGACAGAGGTCATAAATTAGCATGTTATCTTAGTGAAATGCTCCTACATTGGAAAAGATAATTCTAGATGAACTGGGCATAAACTTTGATGTGGGTTCTTAACAATTATGTGTTTTTTTTAAATTTGTCTTTGCCTTTGATTACACTGAAAGTGAAGCTTTAATGTAACTGACCACTTGGTCAATTCAACTTCACTGATGTACATGTTTTGATTCTTCAATAGAGGCTTATAGCTAATCCAGGAGGTAAGCAACGTAGCAGACTGTCCATCATGTCCCAGCATCTCTGCACTGTTGAAAACTGTTTCGTAATTCCAGGTGAAGCCTTTGTTCCAAAACCAGAGGTAAGTTTTGGTGTATTTCTTTGGGTTTTTTGTTAATTTGTTAGTCAAACAGTGTATTTGGAACACAGTTGGGTGCTGTAGTTCAACATCTCCGTACTATAAAGTGGAGTGATGTGATAGTCTTGTAAATGAAGCATACTTGCTTCAAGCAGATACTTTTCTTTTTGGTTCCTCAGAACTTGGCTTTGACCTTCAAGTCTATCTGCCAGATCAGTGTACTTCTTTGGGTGTTTCTGGAGAGGAGATTGGGATTTGATGACAGGATGGTCTGCTAGGATTGTAGCATCTTTGGAAAGCCTGCTGGTTTATAGTTTGCATTTGTAAACAGTTTGGGAATTGTGCCTAGAAAATTTGATGGGTCTTTTGAAAGACCCTGATAAATAAAAGCTTATCATTTGTCATCTTTGTCAAAGATCTCTAATTTTACCATGTCTGTAATTTTTACATTTCCCCTACTCATCTTTAGCATATTTAACTCCCTCCTGTTCGCTGCATCACTTTGTCACCTACATCCCACTGTCTGTTTAAAAAAGTAACAATTTTTCCTCCCTCCTATCTGCTCTTGAGTAGAGAACAGTCTCTTTGCTGTCCTCGTATCTACTGCCACTGGTTTTTATTAATGGCCATTATGATTACAGGAGTTAAGAATTAATAAATTAAACTGCATTTTGGACGAGAATGTGTCTTCTTGTTGTTGCAAAGATATGTGCCTGACACTAAGTGGAGTCTGTTTCCCCTGAATGTATGTGGAAATCCACTGTTCTGTTTCAGAAATGAATTTGCAGCTCTGAAAGTTCCTCTTAAACTGCGTGGTTCAGCTCATCAATACATCTCACTTCCCCCTTATTACAGTCTGTATCTTGGTCTTTTTACTGTTCAAGCATTATCTCTTGAGAAGGTCATTCTCTCTTCTATCACAGTGAATTTTAAGGCCTCTATCTGGGCATATTCCGGTGATTATTTAAAATTCCCTTTAGTATTTTTTGAGCAAGTAACTGTTCAAACATGTTAAATTATTAGTTGTTTGTTTTGAAGAAAAAATGACCATGTCTTAACATCTTATTTTTTGCTTTGTGTTTTTGGGTTTGTTTTTTTTTTCTCCTGCCTCCTAGCTGAATGAAAAATAATTTCAGGATGTCATCTCACTGTTAGATATGTGAAATGGTATTCAGTAAGGCCTAAACTCCAATTCTGTGGTGGTCGTTTCTCAGTGGTGGATACAATTTGAGTGTGTAGTAGAGCTAGTGTAGTCAAAAGTCTTGTGCAGACAGTGTCTCAGAATTGGGAGGCTGTAACTGATATTCCCATTTTCCTGTACTGAAAAGGCCGTAGTTGAGTTGAGAGAGAGGTAACTCATTGAGTTGTGACAAATGTCTTAGTGTAAGCAAATCCTGCAGTCAGCTGGTGCTCTGTTGAATAAAAAAGGCAGTACCACTAAAGGCAGCCATATTTTTATTTAATTTATTTCTTTGAGTTAAAACAAGTATTGTTTATATTGCAAAAGCAGAAAGTAAAAATTTTTCAGACAGACCTGGCACCTGTTTTCACTATATTTTGGTTCTTTCAAACTCCTGTTGTAGAGTGATCTGTTTTGTCCCTGTTCCTTTAGCTGTAGGTTGACTTGTTTTAGATATTACTGTTTCTGATAGAATCTTTGTTTTCTTGGAAAGTTTTTGCAGTATATTGTGAATAAAGTGGCAAAGAAGTTCAGGTACTTCTGTATGAAGTTCTAGGAAGAAAAATTTGATGCTTATGTAACTGATGAATACTTCATTTTGCTTGTAGTATGCAATTATTACCTTTTTTTTTACGCCCTCCTGTAAAAATGTCTTTGGTTCTTATTTTACGAATGTTAGTTTTTATTCACATAGCTAGCAGTGATCACAGCTTAGTGTCATGTCAAACCTCTTAGTAAAGGAGATGCATGTTTTTGGGAATGAGTAGTTTACCTCATTTGCTCAATGAATGAATAGTATTTCAACAATACCTATGAATGTTGAGATGTAAAAGACTCTTGGTTTATGGAGTGGAATGGTGCTGCACAATGTTGTGTCTAAGCAAAGATAGTTTGGCTTTTTGGTCATAGTTAGGTCTCTGTAGTACTGAGTAACTGCTGATACTAGCATTAGGAATAGTACAAAACAAGTTCCTTGATGAATACATAGGAAACTCAAAATGGCTACATAGGAGTGGTAATACAAATAAGACGTAATTCCATTCGATGTATATTAGAAGAAAGACTCTTTACGTATTAGATGCATAAAACATTTCACTTTCTCAAATGCTATAGCAGAAGATCTTACTTTCTCCAACAAACTATACATATAATGTCAAGGACCCTTCGTACTGTTTCTAGTGAATTTTGGGCTAATAATATGGGAAGTGGAAGTTGTATATAAATATACAAAATAAATAGCGGTTGGTTTTGTTGAAAGACTCGTCCAGCATTGTCATATTCTGAAATTTAAAGGCCTGTATCATATCTTCTTTTCACTCCCTTACCTATGCTAGCAAATTAACATCAATTTGATTCTCGTTCAGGGAAGCATTTAGACAGAACAGACTCTGCCAATGACCAATACAAAACAAAATCTGTGTGTTGAAAAAAAAGTTAAAAGTATCTGAGATTATTAATCAAAATGAGGGTGTTAAGAAAATAAATTTAAATGAAGAAGCTATCTCGTTATCACCATTGTATATTGCATTTTACAGTAACAGAACACATGGGAGTGGGCCTGAAACAGACCCTACTGGACTCATTAAAAAGACTTACAGAGTTCTTTTAGAAGGCCAGAAATGTAGACAATAAATGGTAGCTGTATTGTCTGAGCTGTTAAAAGCTACTTTGAGCAAGTGAAAGCCAGAACACTTTTCTGGAACATAGATATTTAGTTTGTATCCTGTGTGTTACAGTTTGCAGGTGTTTTCATAGTCATGGTTACATTTCTTTTGTTGTATTGCTCCTCAAATCTAACATTCATTGTGTAGTGATAGATTAGTAGCAATTGGTGAATGCCCAGTAGGCATTTCTTTAACAATAATAAATTAAACCCACAGCAGGTGGCAGTTTGAGGCGGGAGAGCCATTTTTGGCAAGATCTGAATGGTACTGCTGATTCTTCAGACTGATACGGAGAATACACAGTGCAGCTAAGGTTTGGGAATATGGGTTTTTATTGTAGTTTTCTGTTTTGGTTTGGGTTCTCTTTTTGTGTGTGTGTATTTGGTTTTTGTTAGGTTTGGGTTTTGGTTGTTTTGTTTTTTTTTTTTTTAATGTAGTTACCAAGGCAATTTAGAACTGAAAATGAAAAGCAGATGTGTCTATTAGTTAAAAACTATTGAATTTGGCTTCTTGGACAGAGAGTGGGGTTTTTTTTTTTTTTTTCCTTGCATCGTAATTAAAATAAAGATGAGGATGTAAAATACACTATAAAACATTATATATTATTGATAGCCTGATTTACTAAAGAGAAAGCAGTTAGCTTCTGAAGCATCTTTGCTGTAACAAGCCATTAGTACATTAATTGTACTGTCAGTTATGCTTTTAAATAGTTCCTTTTTCTTCAATAAATCTTACTTGGAAAGTCAAAAAGAATGGTTTGAAAAAATCAACAAAACAGACTTAAGCATTGTTTCATACTTCTTTCTTTTTGTGGATGCTGCTACAAATGAAATACCTTGCTTAAACATAATTTCAACCCAGATATAAGAAAAGTTAAGTGCTATGTTATATGTTTCTTGAAATAATCAAACTACACTTAGCACAAAAAAAGCCTCAATGGATAGAAATAACTGTATTTACACATAGTCCTTCAGGTTGTAACCAGCATTCCTCTCCTGCTCTGTGGATGGGAAATGGTGCTGCTTTGGAGGGTAAATCCATGCTCCTTGCTGCTTTTTGAAACAGGAAGTGCAGAAGATCACACCTGCGATAAGCAGAAACCCTGCTGAAATGAATCCTGTATAAACTGCTCCTCCTGGTTCGTGTTTACTGCTCTCTGGAATGGTCTGGTCCAGAAAATTTGAAATAATTTCTCTTGTGTACCAGGATGTTGGTACTAATCCAAAGATTCCTGCAAGAATGAAGCAGATTCCTCCAGCAAAACAGGCGTGGCTTTTGCTGTCAGTGTCACCTCCCAGCTTTGTGCATTTCATTCCAACTGTAGTGATGCAGATCCCAAAGGCTGATAGGATACAAGACAGCACCATGGTGGTCCGTGCAGCCTGGATGTAGACAGGGAGAGAGAGAACGGAGTATTTCAGGGTACAGCTAAACATCCCAGTACTGTACCACGTGCAGTCCATCCAAAGTCCTTGCATCTGTGTTATAGCTGTTATAATATTTGAACCAACATCTGCATTTACTTTCCAGTTCGGTAGCAAAGTAGCCGTAATATCTCCAAAAACACCAAACAAAGCCAGAATAAAAGCAAAGAACTGCAGACTTGCTGATGCCATGATGATTATCTGCTGTCACCTTTTGTCTGCCTGTTTCTGTCCTGTAAACAAGTGTAACTGGTTGGTAGCTCCGCAGCCAAGGCTGTAGCCCTCTGTGTAACACGGAGGAAGGGTGGGAGGGGGAGGAGAGGTGCGAGGGGGAGAGAAAAGAAATCAGCAAACAAAAAAATCTTGCATTTAAAATTAGAGCTTTCTGATTGAGTATCTGGACATGACCCTGCAGCAGATGAGAGCAGATGAGCTGTACACACTGTACTTGAACATAAATGATGGCAAATGGACAGTTTTTTCGAATTGCTTGTAAGAAGGAGCTGCTGCCCTTTTGTACATGATTGCAAGCCATCAAGCAAAACTCATTTTACTGGAGTTGTCTTTTTGTAATAGTATACAGATTGCAGGCTTGCTAAACAAATACACATTGTAAATGGAATGTCAGAAACTTGCAGATTAGAAGCCGTTGTGGAAAAACACTGTGGTAGAAAATACGTTGTACTTCAAGTACCTTCTTTAAGTGTGCTGATGGCTGTAGTCTGTTCCTGTTGGCAATTTTATAACAATGAATATTGATAACATTATCTTTTGTTTAAAGTATGGTTAAAAGTAACCGTTATTTAAATATTGTCTGTTCTTTTGTTTGATAACTTACAAAATTTCATGGTTTTGAAGGACAGTAAGACTGAATTTATTTTTTGCAGTATTTTCACTATGTAATCACATGTGACTTTTCTAAATCAATATTTTATTTTCAGTCAGTGATTATCAGTCCTTGACTTAGAGCAGCAGTATTGAGCAAGTCATAAGAGTGAATATGATCTCCTTTTGTCTAAAAGTAAAATACTGTTTTAACACTGATACGGAACAACTCAGTTGTGTAAGTGCATTTTTCTTAATCATTCACTTACCTGTCTGAAATAATTTGCAAATTTGCTATGAAGTGGCAGTTTTAAAAATTCATTAAAAACATCCCTGCTATTCTTGCATAGAGTCAAATTTCATTTGACAATTGACAACATTCTAGGCAGTATGATAACTATGCACCTGGGAAGACAGAACTGCTGCTGTTACACCAGCTGGACTGTTGGGAGATGAAGAAAAATGGTTTGAAACCTCTATGACGAGGATTAGAAATGGTGTCCTGCCTTTCGAGTGGCGCTGTATGATTGGCAGGTTTTGTCTTTTATCGGAGTGATGGAGAAAGGGCAGTCCTCCGTCTGGACTGTGCTTTCTAAGACATTCTCTTTAAATATGAACAATAATATTAAAATTGGTCTTTAGCATTAGAACTTTTTTGAAAAGCCATAATAATATGGAATAAAGTTGAAATAAGTGGAACACAAAATATCTGTAGCATTGTACTCCTATTTCAACTCATTATATAAAAGACAACAAGGTTTTGATCAGTATGTGTTCTATCAGTCTTTAGTGGCATTACATAACAAGTAATCCCCTAATTTCTATATTGTACTTAGTTCAGGTAATTTTTCAAGGATGTGCTAACTCTGTCCAGCATGTATATATTAAAAATGCTTCTAGTTAAGGTGAGAATAGTAACAGCTACTCACTTTAAAAATCTTATTTCAAAGACCTGCCTATTTCCAAACCTCTTCAGTTTGTTCAAACCATGAGAGTTGCTCGGGCAAATACATACCATTTGCTGTATCAGGCCCATGGGAAAGATGGCTTAACTTCCTTTTACAGAAGGAACTGACATGTCTGGATAGCTCCAGACTTCAAAAGCATATTCTGGAACAGCTAATTAGGATCTTGAGTTAGCTTTTTTTCATTGCTTCCTTTTTAAAATCTCAGCAAATACAAACAGGCAAACATAAATGCAAACCACTGCAAATAGCAGCCATACATTACATTTAATGGCATGAAGCAAATTAAAGGCATGATAAATTCAAGTATAAGCACTGCAAATGTAATAAAAAAATACAGTTATGTTTCATTCCTGTTTGTGTAGCACTTACTGCTGGATGTGAGGTCTGAGATGTTTTCTTCACTGTAGATGTCCTGGAAAATGTAGTTTCTCTTGAATAGAACTATCTCTTCTCATATAGAACTGCATTGGCATGTATTAACTAAATTTCTTGGAATGTTGGTTTTTTTCCTGTTCTCTACAGCAAGTGCATTACTGCTGTTTGTTCCCTCTCTTAGTTCCATCTACCCGAGAATAAAGGAGTACTTTGTTTAGTGAGTTTTGTTTGACAAACACTCAGTAAGGGAAAGCAAAGAGATTATGGAGAACACATGGAGGCCCTTAGTCCCAAATACATAGTGATAACCGGGCTCTATGATGAAAACTATGAACAATTATTAAAAGGAGTAAAATCTTGAGAATCCAGAAACTCTGTAGACTTACGGATTTGGGGGTAGGGGTGGGGTGGGTAGGATTCATTTAAGTTGAACTGAGAGCCAGAGGGTTTTGTTGTTTGTGGGCTATTTGGGTTGGTTTTTTTTTTTTTTTTTCTCATTACAGATAATCTTATTAAGAGTTTAAATTTCCTAGGAAAGAACTATGCAATTTATTTTAATTTGTAGTTGAAACAGCGGGACATTCCTATTCAGCTACAGCTTTTGCTTATCTCCTCTTGATAGCCTCAGACTTTTGTAGGTCATCCTATAACTTGTTGCCTTTGTATGTTTGTGTAAAAAAAAATGAAGGGATAAAGCTACTACTCAGGCTTACATGGTAACGGCAGCACATCAGTGAATCAGCCTTGACAAGTGGGTGTGTGAAATCAAGAAGTCAGAAGTCTTGCTGGCTGCAGCAGTGATATACCCATAGGTTCTGTACCTGACTCCTGCTTTCCTGTGATCCCGTTTCTGAGCCTAGTGTGAAGAGAATTACAAAGCTGTCCTTACACAGGAATTAGACTATTGCTATTAGTGCAGTTGAAGAATTATTTTCTGCTGGAAGTGAACCAAACCAAAACCCTCGCTTCAGAAGAAGATTGCTATGAGATACATGTATCTGGTATTAGTCCTAACATTTGTCTGTGGTAGACAGATAAAATGCTGGTACTGAACTCTTGTATGGTGGAAGTGCTGGCTTAGAACTTAGTAGGATCTCAAGCATCTGTTTTAATGAAGTTGTAATATGTTCTGCTGAGGTTTCAGTTCCTGATGAGCAAATTACAGCTTGAAAAAGAATATGTGGGTTTGCTTTTAATACAGCCCTGTTGCAAGATATACATATTGCCCATCATGAGACCTTTATTGCCAACAATTAGTAAAAAGTGTCTATTTAAGCTTATTCTGATTTTGAGTGTTGATTTCATCAGCAAGGCAGCAGACTTCTCTGAATTAAATGGTACTCTGTCATGTGTTCCTCCTACCCTACTAGAACATAAACCTTCATTGTGCTGATAGACTGAAACAGCAAGGGGTGAATAATTGCTGAACTATTGACAGTTCAGGATATATTAGTTGAATAACTTTAATAGTCATTATTTTGTATGAATTTATTATTTTGTAAATATTTCTAACATACTTGGGGGGAAGTGTTGCTAATAAAATACACAAGTTAATTTGCTGATAATTTTAAGTGCTCTTGTGTACTCTGTATTGGCTTTCATAACTCTGCTGTCTGTTTTATGCATATTAAAAAGGTTAGGGAAAAATAGCATGTATAATTTTAAAGGAGTGGCCAATTACAAGTGAAAAGCTTTCCCCTGTATCTGTTGCTATAGTAACCAGGCAGCTTTTCTGGGGTACAAAGAAAACAGCGTCTATAATGGAACAAATGCTGAGAAGTGCTGTGTTTTGTTTCAGAAGCAGAAATTATTGCCCACTGGCCTTGAGATTGCAAATTGAGCTGTTTTTCTCTTACACTGTACACTGAATCTACACTACGTTCCTTTCTTTTTCTTCAGAAATTGGTGTTAAAGATGCAGCTCCAACTCCCAGAGAGCCCTCATATCTCACAAAAGTTCTGCAAAATAGAGGCAACTAGGAGATCCCAAATGGTCTCTGGTGGTTTTCCTATCCCTAATTTTGGGGCGGAAATATCTTGTTTTATTTCTTGGCAAAAAATGTAGATAAACATACACGTGTGTAAATAAGCCCATTAGTGTTTCTGTGCAAGGAGCTGGTTGGTCATGTGAAATATGTCTTTGCCATGTTCAAAAAGAGAAGCTTTTCTGCCACTCAATGGGAACACAAGTTTTTGCTGCATTCCTGTGGTCTTCCTGACAGATAACAGCAAGGAGAAGCTTATCAACGCTTGAGAAACTGCTTTGGAAAATACATTTATGTACTTTTCACTGCAGATTCTACATGTCAGGTTTACTTTGTCATCTAATTTTTAAATAAGTTATTGTGTCTTTACATTTTAGTAATTAAAAAAACAAACTATTGAGTCTAGCTTTCAGAAAAAGTGGAAAATTAGAGAAAAAGCCACTACCTGTAACATATACTTAAGATCAGCAGCACTAATACTGGAAACTTGCTGTGTTTTTTTTCATCAGCACCATTAATCAGTATTTTCTTTCCTTTCTCTATCCAGTACTTTTGTTCAGCTTTGTAAGTTCTGTCTACATGAGAAACTTGCATTGTTTGAATTTCATAATTTCTCTTGAAAGCAAATATATACCTCTGCTGTTGAAGCAGTGGTACTGGATACGTGACAGCTGAGCTGTTCCCACTGAAAGTACAGCGTGGATGGATGGCACTTCTAGAATACGTCCACATCAGAGGTTACTATGATTTAATTGATTTCAAAACAAAACAAAACACAAACTTAGAACAGTTTTGGTTAGTGCAGTAGAAAAACCCCTCTCATTTTTTTAAGTTCTCTGTTGCTGTGGGTTTTCTCAAACAATTAGTACACTGCGAGTATGCTTAAAACAGAAGCTGATCTTTGGTCTGAGTGTATCTTTTATTTCAGTCAGAAGTAGCATATCTTCAATTTAATGTCACATATACACTGTTCTGCTAATGCCAGTATTGACTTTCAGACCTTTTAAAAAGATGGATGATTGTCCAGCACATTAGCAGAT